GCAAGTCACTAATGAGCACTATTCAGTAATGCATTTGTGAGATGAATGGGTTTTTTTTTTCACTGTTCGTGGTAGTATTCATCATGGACTGACATCAGTTGGGCAACCATTGAAAATCTGGGAGCACTGGACAGCTATTTCTTCCTAGTATGGGACTCCTCAACAGTATGCATCCACGACCCAGTGGCTGACTTGTGAACGTGTCCACTATGAAACCTGAAGATTCTGAGTTCAATCCCTGACTGTGTCGTGGATGCGTACTGCTGAGGAGTCCCATATTAGGATGAAACAGCTATCCAGTGCTCCTAGATTTTCAATGATTCCCCAACATGATGAATACCACCTCTAAAGTTAAAAATCCCCCGTTCATTTAAAAAATGCTTAATTTATAAACTTAAATGATGGGAGGTTGAAATTACAATGATGGTTATTTTAATCTCTCTCTACTTAGGTTAAATCCTGAGGAATCAAATTTTAATTATAATTTCATACCCATTCCTAAGTGTGTTCGCCGTAATTTCTGGCTGTGAATATGTAAACTAAATTGATTTTATAAGTTTTTTAATCTGATGAGATGTTATTGGAAAGAATATTCTTCTCTCATATTTAACTTTCAACACATGAAATCGGAATTTCTAGTTATGTGAAATAAATAAATGAACAAGTATGTATATTCTTCAGATAGTTAAAGATTCCCATTTCATATATTTAAAGTCAAGTATAATCGAAGAATATTATGGTTTCATTATTATATTGTTTAATATATTACGGTTATTTCTGAGTGTTTTGAAGAGAGCATCTATTGATTTTTTCCGTCAACCAACCTGTTATTTATACGTTAGACGGAGTGTTTTTTCTAGAAACTTCGGAGTACGTTGATTGGCTATAAAAGTTTTTAGGCATCTGTAGGTTCTCTGAGATATTTACACAAAAACACATCATAAGAATATGATAGGTTAAATTTTGTAATTCTGAGATACAGGACTACTTCTGGTTGTGCTCAAGTACGTGCCTTATGTATTTATTGAGTTTCACTTGCTAACCAAATACATTTTCTGAACAAATGCTAAATAGAAACCTTAATATCGTAAACAGGTTATAATTCCTTCCCGACCTGTTCACACTGCACTGTAACTGTAACCTAGGTGTTTGGTTTACTAAGTTTCTGTCATGAAAATGGTACTGTTCACCTTGATTGTTTTATGCGGGGTTGGAAAGCATATGATTGACGTCTATCAGGCGGTGTTGTGTATTAGAACCTATCTATTATAGACATACAGGCCACAGTTGTTACGAGTATCATGGAAGAAATTGAGCATATATTCTGATTTTGTCATTATACACGTAGATCTTAGTGTAACCTCGGCTTTTGTTTGTGTTTGATTTATTTCTCAAATCATACCCATTAAGAAGTGATTGCTTATACTCTTGGAGTTTAATGACTGCATTCCTAAATCAACAACTCGGAATTTTCTATTGCCTTACGTATGTTAGGCAATGGAAAATGCATATTTGATTGAAAAATTACTCACAGACACTCAGTTCATAAGGTATGTGAAGTTTCCTAGCTCTATAGTTTTTGGATCGCACGTATTTGTTCTCCCGGTTCTCATACACCAAATCATCTTCACATTCATTCGACTAAGTCAGTTCACCAAGTATTTTACGTGAACAAATTTTTGAAAAATGACTTTTATTTAATTCTATCTGGAGGTTTTTGGAAGCTTATTAATTGATTTTAGGTTGGAATTAATTATGGACTGACCTCAGTTGGACGAAAATTGGAAACCTGGGAACACTAAACAGCCTTTTCGTCCCAGTATAGGACTCCCCGAAAGGGCGCACCCATGACCTCACCCCCAGGGGCCGAACCCAGGGCATTCAGGTTTCCTGGACAGCACGTTACCATTGAGCCACCGGGACGGAACCCAGTGGTCCACATTTCCTACTTCTGTCAGTTCATGATATAGTGCAACCTACATCCAATGTCACTGCTGGATAATTGTCCTCATGTTCGACTTGGTTGACTCGATTGGTAACGTGAACTGACAGCAGTAGGAAATGTGAACCATTGGGTTCCGACCCAGTGGCTCAATAATAACATGTTGAGCATGGAGCCTGAAGTTCCTGGGTTTGATCCTTGGCAGGGCAGGGTCATGGGTGTGCACTGGTGAGAAGTCCTATACCAGGACGAAAAAGCTATTGAGTCCTCCCAAGTTCCCAATGTTCCTCCAACTGATGTCAGTCCATAGTGAATTCCAACTTTTATTAAATGTATGAATTAGACAGATTCAGACTGTTTACTGGGCGCTAAGGATACGAAGAAAATTGTGCTAAAAACCAAAGTTAAAATTGGTTTGCTGATTCTTCTGGTTGATTGGTGATTTTGACTTTGTAGAGTTAAGGATATTTCTACTGAAATACTACATGGTCAACCGAATTCAGGCACAATTAAATTATCGGATCATTCTATCAAAAGAAATCAGATTCTGAAAGTAGGAAAAAAGTGATCTACTTTTAATGGAACATTCAAGGTGTAATTAGGGGCATTTTTAAAGAGCAGTTATTTAAATTCAAGGCATTTGAGTGAAGAGGCTTAGTAAAATGATCAACCTGATGTACGTTGCCAGAGTTAAGGAAGAATGTCGTGTAAATACTAAGCTTTCTGAACATTCTTAATGAAATCCTTTCGTGCAATGCTTTTTTAGGTCCTGAACTAAAATATGCCTAACCACCGTCTGTCTCGTTACACAATGTTAGTCGAAGTAGGTTCAGGCTGGAAAAAGGCTTGGAGCGGCCAGACTACAATATGGTATCAATGCATGAAGTCCTTGACTATTCGTTTGAGCTATGTAGGGTGATACAGACTAGCCAGTCGGCGTCCACGGGACAGGAGGAACCAGTGGTTGGAGACTCTAGGTGATTTGGCTCAGAACCCATGTCAGTGAGGAAGATGCACACACATTATCCTGACATCAACCACCATACTTAATCTCACTATCTTTTCATTCTTCCTTCTTCTCTTTTACTACTTTCTACTTCTTTTTCCTTTGACTGATTTTTCATCTCCCATTTTATTGCCTTGTTACTTGATGTACTGATATGATGTGTGGCAACTTGGACCGTTAGGCAGTAATGCCTGATCCTATGTTGATCTTGATGATGATGAACTAAAATATGGCACTGTGAAAACGGACTATCTGCTTTCAACCTGACTACCCCAAGATCAAAAATGTATCTTAGTAAATATAACTTTTGTTGCTGATAACTAAAAAAATATTTTGTAGGTTTTAACAAAATAGCTTCAGTCGTGCACTGAAATGGAGGAAGATTGATTAAAGCCAGTTCCATAATGACAGGTTGGCATGGTTTTGAATCGTTGTCCTAGACATATAATAAGCAACTTTATGCTTACATTTATAGAACCTCTATATTAATCCCGAGATTAGGTACAGATAGTAACAGTAATTTAGTTAAAACAATCAGAACTTTCAGTTTGCGACGATTAGATCAAAACTTAGTGGTGAATATAGCTTGATTGTGATGAAAATGCGTCACCAAAGGGAATATGCTGTGTGTTGTCTTGTTTTCTACTTGACCATTCCAAAGTCTAACATATTCTTACAGATTAATGTATTAAGGGCTCTAAAATTTCTAAAACACTTGATTTCCTACTCTTTTTGTGTCCTGGAATACTTCTCTCTGTATTACAAGTGTCGCCTACGCTTATCTACTGTCTTTTCTATGTAAAACACTTATTTGTTAGATATGCTCATGGTGTCTAGTGATGTTGATCAACTAATCACCTAAGATTGTCTGTATATTACATAAAACTCTACGGAATGAAACCAATTTTCTTCATTTTTAGATTCAATCAATTGAGCCATTTAGTTGATTTCTTCCTTTTATATACATCAAATGTATCCCACTTTGCCAGAGTGCTACAGCATTGCTCTAGTAATATATCCCATACTTAATTATCAGTTGCGTACGATGTCTCCGAATACAGAGTCTAACTGTCGAAAACATCGGAAACTGTATTTTCTATTCTTATTTATTGATTTCACAACGACTAAACAGTCACATACGGAATTTATCTTTTTATAAATTTTCATTTATTTTATCCTAATTCATAATCTAAAATAAAACTCACTTGTACTCACCTGTACTTTTAATCAGAAACAAGTAAACACCTGATTCTAAAAACAATACGTGTGATATATTTGAGGTCATAGGAAATTTATCGTGCATGCAAATGATGTATAAAGTCTTAAGAAAAACTTAGTTAGTGGCGAGATTTGTGCCAACTGTAATCATCAAATCACCAACTACGTTCTGTTTTGCGTTCTAGGCTATGAAGCAGAGCTTATTCTTGAAGGCTGTGGTACCAACTGTTACCACATGGAATGTACAAACAAACCCAGATAATTAAAGAGGCAGTCCAACCGTTGATACGAATCGATCAGAGTTATTCACAGAATGAAGTCCGGAAAATGGAATTCAATGAAGTCTATAGTGTAAAGTATAACCTTGCATGACGGAAATAATTAGCACATTCAAAGTGTGCAGGAACCAATCACAACACTAGCGAAGCATATGAAATGTAACTCCCATGGGTGGGAAAGGCTATAAAATCGATGAAAGTTTAAATAGCCTAACAAGTGAATCCGACATAATAAGGTGTTTGGACATTCCTAGCACTACTTGGCTTCTGAAACCCTAGTATGTAGGATAAAGGTTCAAACTCTTGATACCCAACTATTTAAATTAGTCACTCGACCAAAATTATCCTAATTTATGAGTTGTAATTCTGTGTAACAGCATCATATCGTATTTCTTTTGTACAACTCAAACTACATTGTTATCGCTTACATTTTTGTACTAAATCATCAAATTGTATTCTCAATACACAATGTTCAAAAATGGAAATCAGCAGGTATTTAAGTTGTATCAAATTATTGTGCGTATCGAATGACGTGTAAATAATTCTTCCCTTTCAGTTGGTCCTCCGCTTTTATTTCCCGTTTATTTCCAAATCATGTCATTCCGACATATGTGGATTCATAAAAAGGTTGAGGTAAGTGAAACATCATTTAATACTTGAAAGTTACTCCTGTTTTTCACATGATTTCTGGTTCTTCATGAACCATTGAATCAAGTCGCATTTAATCAATTGGCGATTAGTGTTTGTAAGTAAGTAAGTGTACGCTTTGGACCATTAAAGTACAAAGTACTTTTGCAAGATTGGAGGTAGCCTGTGCCTGCGCTCACCCTTGGTGGTGAGCCGTTCGAAGTAGTCGAAACGTTCGTGTACCTGGGTAGTTGTGTGAGTGCTGGTGGAGATGGAGGGGTGGTCAGTATACGACGTGGTATTGTGGGGTGAAGGATAGTTGTATCACGTTAGCATCTATTGGATCATCACGACCCCCTAGGTTGGGGTCCAAGAGGTCACCCAACTCACTGACGTGAAACGTTATCAGATTTGGTTCAGAATCAAAACCAGCGATGGTCAAGCTGTAGCTTCTTTCTACTTTCTGCTGCTGAAAAGTTATGAATATATCTTATTGGACTACCCTTCTAATCACACTATTCTTATTGTATTTTATATTTATCCACTTCCTATCACTTTATGTCTTCATAATGTTGTTATATTATTTTGTTTGGCTCATTTCTTGGTGCCCTTGTTGTACCCTGTTTGTGTTCTAATAATAATGTATAAATTGAATCAAAATACAGAATCGTAGTTATTCCTGCTTGGTTTCAAAAAGAAGCATAAAAGCTTGAAGAATGCTGTATGTACTTATATTCAAGAGAAATTTAAATTCATAGCAGTTAGCAAGTGCACTATTGTTATCTCCTAATGATAGTCCCTATATTACTTGAAAATCACACAACCAAGCGTTTTGTAATGAATGTAAAGATCCTTAACAAAATGTTTTTTTGTGAAACTATGTTTAAAGTGTTTATATTCATACACGTCACTCATACCAACATCGCATAATTCACAGGTAGCATGTGTTGAAGAATAAAAACTAAATCTCTCAGTTAGAAGAAGGTATTATAGTTGCACTTGACTGCAGTTAGTAAACTGGATCGTCATCTCGCTTAATTTGTTCTAAGTGCTAGCTAGATATCCAAATGTTACATTCTTTTCATTATTATTTGTGATTCATTCGCCTAGCAAAACATATACAAATGCGGTTGAAAAAGTGAGGAAGTGAACTGATCACTCCTTGTTTACATTTTAACACAGTCAACTAAAGTTTTAATCAAACAGTTGGCAATTATGAATACAATGGTTCGACCAACATCGCATAGCATCTTTAGTGAGAACTATGATATTATGAAGGAATTGTGCATGCTGTGAGCATACCAATTCATATGCATCCATTCCACGTATACATCTTCCTGCAAGGTTTCTGCGGATCACTTTTTTGCAGGCAGAATGATGAAAACTCAACTGAAAATATTCAATTATGTTAAAAAGCTCTGTTAAACCGTTTAAGATGCTGAAACTAGCATGTATGCATCTTGGTCTATAGCTTTTCATATTAAAAACAGTTCCTGATTTTTTCATCCTATGAAAATGTAATCTATCTACTTGAAAAAGTTTTGCCTGGGAGATTCACTTGGAAATTTAGATTGATAACAATGCTTATTATCTTCACATAAACAGGAGTTAAATAACATACTTCACTGTATGATCAGGTTACCCATAAATAAATAACACAATGACAATGATGGTTAGTATTCAAAGACTTGTATACATATTATTGTGGTTTTAGTTTTTTTCGAGTCTGTGTCTTCGTGAGTGCAGTCATCAACGTCATCGAAATATCTCCATCAAAATAGTCTATCAGGGAAGTATAGTTTCTAATGAGATGCTTTGATTTACCCCTTTCTTCCAACTTGGTATAATTTTTGACCGTTCACCCACATGTCTATAGATTTGCTTATAAATCTTTACTGAAGACGATGTCTAGACTGATGTCAAAAGCTGCGCTCATGAAATCTCAAACTCGAATGATGATATACTGGTGGAAATAGCCTATCCTTGAACAATATTTCCAGTACTTTAGAAGGATATTTGGTTTAAACTCTTGCATTTAACTTTCGATAAATTTAACTTTCAATTTTCAACACAGCTGAACGGTTATGGTTTATCGCAAGAATCTACTTACTTTCCAGGTTTTCTGAATTCTTCCAAGTATGAAGGACTTCATGCTGTCGAGCATTGAACCTGAGTTCTTGTCGTCTCACTTATCATCGATATAATTCTGCCACCATTTCATCTAAGTAACTGTTTTTAGTAAGGCATTCTATAAGTAAATGATAAAAAATTCAACTAATAATTTTGAGATGAATTATTGACGATAACATGTATTGGGAACAAACACTTTACCACTGATTATAAATGTTGAATGACCTGGTCATCATGAAAGTACATAGTGGGTTCAACCCAAAATGCTTTACTTCGAAATTCAGATGTTTCATTGAATTAATTTAACGATTATTGTGACCTTTGGAGTTTAATCGATCGGACTTCTTCATTTGCTCCTATTCTTCAGGCAGCCTTTTGCATCGTTTGAAAATCAAGAATGATTACATCTAGCAAATGCACCTAACAGAGGCCTGTTGTCCTTTCTGAAACTGGACTGTTGATAGTTTTACAGATACAGATAATCTTGCCAAGTGGACATAAATTTTGAAGCACAAACAATGACTGTTTGTAATGTATTTTTGAGATGAATGAGGATTTTTAATTTAGAAGTAGTATTCATCATGGACTGACATCAGTTGGGGAACCACTGAAAATCTGGGAGCACTGGACAGCTTTTTCGTCCTAGTATGGGACTCCTCAGCCGTACGCACCCACGACCCGGCTAGGGGTCGAACTCAGCACCTTCAGGTTTTACGGCGAACGCGTTTACCATTCAGCCACTGGGTCGGTTTCCAGTGGTTCACAATTTCCAACTTCTGTCAATTCACGACACAGCGCGACTGTCACCCAAGGCCTTCAGTTAGCATCCGCTTCACTTCCGACTGGTTGACCCCATAGGTCACGGCTTTTCATTAGAACTTCCTGACATCCATCTGGAAGCAAGTCACTAATGAGCACTATTGAGTAATGTATTTTTAAGACGAATGGGGATTTTTAATTTAGAAGTAGTATTCATCACTGGTCGTGGGTGCGTACTGCTGAGGAGTCCCGTACTAGGATGAACCAGCTGTCCAATGCTCCCAGATTTTCAGTGGTTGCCCAACTGATGTCAGTCCATGATGAATACTACTTCTAAATGCCTGTTTACGTTAAAATGCTAAATATGTCCCCCTATGTATACACATGTGTGTGTGTGTGTGTGTGTGTGTGTGTGCGTAACAAAGAGAGAGGGAGAAAGAGACAAATATTTGTCAAAGCATTTCAGGTGTTATAGTCAAATTTCTACTCGACTTGTAGAGCATGAAATGCGTACCTGTAAGTGTAATCGGAAATACAAAACGGAAAATATTGACTGATATTCATAAGAGGTGCGTAGGTAAACTATCCAGATATTGTTTGTTTGCTACCAAACAACACGTGTTGTTCCATGCTTACTGCTGCGTTTTATTCGCACACCGAAACATTTCCGATAATATGAAAGTATCACTAGATGTGTTAATCTTTTTCTGTATCATTGTTACGTTGAGGGTGCAGCTGATACCAAGACAATCCTGATGTCGAAGTATCGGGGATCCATATCTGGATATGTAAAGCCCACGTGTTCCGTATTCCCCGACCATCATCGATATTTGTTCACAACTTTTTCATTATCAGTTTATGCTGAGTGTATATGAAGGTTTCTCAGTCGAATGCTCTTCATTTGGCCTTCATCAATACAGGGCAAATAAATTGTCCTACTGACCTGCCACTTCAAATAACAAACTTTCGAGACAACTTCTAGCAAACTTGACACTTCAGTCTTCTAAATCTACTTCAATATTTCATCAGTGGAACACTTCACTCGAGTTTTCTCTCAGAAACTAGTTTACCACTACACCACTTTCTAGAAGTGCTTATGAGATGACTGATTACTGTTGTTATCTATGACATAAACAAACATGCTACATAGAATATGGGCGTCCAGATACACGATAATATTGTAAAGTTATGGAAAATTAAGAGTAATATGAACAGAAGAGAAGAAGAGAAAAGAAGTGAAATAGAAACTTTATCGATGAGGCAATCTCTTACTTACTTACTTAATAACTTACTTGGGGAGTTGCATCAACCCAAACGGGTTGGTTGCTGATGAAATCTCAGCTTGGATACAGAAGGCACGTTTGGCATTTGCCAACATACGTCATCTGTGGCGTCGGTGAGACATCCAGCTATGTATCATAGGACCAGTATACTGCGCTGCAGTTCGTTCTATCCTATTGTATGGCTGTGAGACATACCCGTTAGAACTAGACGACATGAAGCATTGCTCATGTGTGGTAAAATCACCATATGAAGTCAGGCAAAAGGTACTAGGCAAGACAGGCAAGTCGATTGACGAGGTTATGAACCTTAGTCGACTGAGATGGCTTGGACATGCACTGCGCACGCCGAGTCACCGTCTAATATGACGTGCCATATTAAAGGAAGTTGGATTAGGATGGAAAAAGGTTCAAGGTGGTCCGATCAAGACCTGGCATCAGTGGATAAAGTTCCTGACTGTTGGTCTGAGCCGTGTGGGGGTGATGTAGACTACCTGGTTGGGGTCTCCGAAACGAAAGGAATCAGTGATTGAGGACTCTTGGTGACATGTTTGAAAATCCATCACACTAGTGCCGATGAACTAACTCCTTGACATCTTTTAAAGCTTGAATATTCATAATAACCTTTATCTTCAGACTGTTTATTCTTTCACACAACTTTATCTAGTTTGATATCACTCCTTTTCTATCCACCTGTTCTTTGTGTACTTCTGTGAAATGTGGCAATTGAGCCGATGCGGTTGTGTGCTAGGTTCTACGTTGGTTTTGTCAGCCAGTCACTCCTTGGTTATATGAAGAACAGGAAACCTGCAGTATGGTAACCTCCGGTTTCAATTCTTAGACACATTCGCTATCGTCTGAAGCCAGTGAGTTGCATGATATCTCGGGATCTACCAAGGGAGTCGTGAGAAATCAACAAGGGCTGAATCAACAAAGTTACTCTTCATGCCACTGCATCAAATTAAACGTGAATCACCTTTTCAGACCACGCTGTCGGTTAGCAGAAAGTGAACGTTATCTGAGCCACTGAAATGCTGTTCGTAGAAAATATCCAGATCACTGGTTTTAGTGTTTCAATATGGCTTCACACAGTCAGTAAGTCTGTATCCTTCTTAAATACATGCCATCTCTTCTCAGAAACGGTAGTACATATATTTCGCCAGATGCTCTTTGAGCAAGGCTGATGTCAGGATTGCAATTCAGGCGAATCCTAAAGATTATATGCGTGAATATTTAGGGATCAGGGTAAACAAATCCAAAGGTGAGCACAAAAAATTCACATTTGCCCTCTGTCTTGAAACCACCATCGATGTGCAATAGCGGTAAATCAGAATTCTGTACTAGAGGTTATAAATGGATGATCGTGTGAAAGTATGACTTTACTATGACCTCATTCGTTCAGGTTTTGAAGACCCAGTCAGTCAGAAATTTATGACTGACAGTTCGTAAACTACTTCAATGATGAACATGTTAATATTGCATTTGTATGTGTCGTATGCTGTACTCACTACTTGCTTAATAACTTGTAATGCCTGTTTTGCTGAGATCAGTTTTTCTCTTTTATTTGTCTTTCTTTAGGACTTTATTTACGTGATGGGATTCTATGCAAAACTCTTTATTCTTTATTACCCATTACTTGGGTTCTGGGGAAGTTTGGCCTATTTCTTTATGACCAGGTATTTTACGCGCAGAGATATTACATTTTCAGAAGTTTTCTTTGAGTTGATTTTTCAGTTATTCCAGGCAACAGCGTCCACGCTAACAACTGGTAAAGTGTAGCCGCTCACCCATGAAGAGACAAATACCATTTTATTAATAATGTACATGTGATGGCCAGCAATGCATACTTATTGTGTGCATAGGTGCTCATGCAACAATCTGCGTAGTAGCTGACTAGTGATTTTCTAAAACTGTCTAAGTTTGCAAGCAAAGTTTATGTGCAGATTTTGAAAACTAAGATAAATGTATCACATATGTTAACTTAACTTCAGAGTGTTGGGAAAATTGAAACGAGGATTTGGTAAACTAAATTATTTTGCCTAATTGGATCTATAGCATCTTTTAATTTACATAGCTTATTTCTAAGCTAGTTTTTTGGTTTAAACACTATTTTAACACCAGCCTTATTGAAAATTCTTTGTAGCGCTTCTGAGGCTGAGAGTTCTGTCTCAACCCTGTCACTATAATTACCACCACTATTGCCATTAGTAGTAGGAGTATTGTTAATAACACCTGTGTTACTAATACAACTGCTTATATTTTCCCTTCGATTTCTTATGAATTCATTTATAAATTTAGGTGGGTAATTGTTGAGATACAAGGTGTTCGTGATGTGTCTAATTTCTTGTTAAAGATTTTTGTCCTACTAGTAAACTATTTTGTCTTATTACTTAGGGATTTAACTGACCCTGTTTTAATTGAGATGGGGTGAGATGATTTGAAGTATTAAAACTAATTTGTTTGGGTGGAGGGGGAGATTGATAACTGAATCTTTGTTTATCGAATTAACACCAAAAACAAGCGATCGAAATGATTTTGCATCTCTCCCAGATACATGGAAAATTCTACTACCCTTGTCATCACAAAGAAGCAGAGAAATTTAGGACTATATAAACTCTGTCTCGAAGCTGTGGAGTTACTTGATTTGAATATGGACAATAAATTGTGTCCGAAAAGTTATCCAGTAAATGATACTGCTTCACTGTGTGATATTTCTAATAAACAGACTGAGATGGAAGGACATTCTACTACAGTGCTAAAGGTATACTCTTATAATAATTTCACAAAAGTGTCTGCATACATGCGAATGGCTTGTGAGTTTTTTATAACCTACTACCTATGGCATTAATACGTGCATGTCAGTGAAAATCTAACTTGTTTGTCATTGATGATGAAGATATGTGGCACTTGACGTGCTTACGGACATTAGCCGCATACAAACCAACTTTGATTCCCACACCTGCGTTATTGCGGTATATAATGTTCTCTGTATGCTAAAATCCGAAAATCCCTGCCTCTCGATTGCAGTTTACTTCACCATCATCTTTGTGTATTATACTATATTCTGGTCTGTTTCACTAAACTGCAGTCACTTTATCGCATAACTGCGAGTTAATAGCAACCAATTTACGCCTTAAAATCTGTCAGGAATGTCATATTTCAGTATGATGTAATTCATTTTGCTGCAAAGATACCGATTCACAAGTTTATAGCTCCTACAATGACTTCAGCCGACAAATCGTGAATCAATTTCCATGCCGAGTGAAGCGTTTGTTTCGTTGTTCCTTGTTGCCTGTGAATAACTGTCAGCACCATGGAAATAGCAACGTGACTGAAGCCCCTAGCTATCTATTAATATGTGGTGAGCCTTGAGATTATTGAGCACACATCTACGACACAAAACTTGTCACGGTAAATATTTGCTTGCACAAGAGAAAATAAATAAAGCTGTATATGTGTTTTGATAGTTGGAAAATTTGATACCTTTGCAGTAAACACATTGAGCATTGAATCGTGCAGTGTCATTGTGTTATCCTATTGTGATGGTGCCATCAAATAGTAGAGATAATGCAGTGATAAAACGAGTTGATGGATGATACTCGGAAACATCACTTGAGGACTAACGAACAGTCTGGAGAACACTTATATCTCACTCACTGGATTACAAATGCCAATTGTGCCTATGTTTCAATGATGTGGTTTACCAAAATTAATAACCCATTTAGGCTAAATGATTTTATCGAAGAGTAAACTTTGGTGATCGCCAACAGGACGTTTACAACCACCGGGTGGAGAGTAGTGAGTATTTTCCTTCTCATTCGATAGATGAGGTTTGATATTTTGACTAGTATGCCTAGTTTGTTTTGTTGTATTTAGACATGCATCACAGTATGCATTAGGATATCAATGGAGACCGGTCAGTTGTATAGCATGTGACTCAAAATGTGGCCAACTCTAATTGTGTGGTAAATGAAAGTGTTTGTTAACTATTTGTTCTTTGTTGCTTGGTTCAATTGTTATTTTGTGCTAATGAGATGATTCTTTCAGAAATTCGATGACTTGCTTATTCATATTTTGCCGAGAAGCACGGATTATTGTTATTTCCTATGCTTATTGTCAACAATGACTCATGTTTGGTGGAACGGTTTGATTTGTATGTTTGTCATTTTGTAGACTGATCGAAAGCCACTGGTTTACGTGGGTGAGTCAGTCAAATCACTTGTCAATGCCGGTAGATTATGATCGAGCTGAACCATGGTTTCGTCTACAGCTGAATGGAACATGTAATGTGGAGAATTCATTGTTCAACGATTGGTTCACGGGACACTTGAACTTTCAAATAGAACACCAGTATGTTGATTGTTGTTGTTGTTGTTGATTGATTGATTGTTATATCCTTGAACCTGTGTGATTGAGTTATTGCTTCGTTTTTATTGTTTTCAGATTGTTTTTATTCGGTTTTTCATGCTTCGGTAGAGTCGTTTGATGACGAAGGTAATCTGGAACATGTAATGCTTTGGTGAAATAGACCTTGAATTAGAAAATTCCACTAATATACCAACGGATTCCGTAGTAAAGTGGAAGGAAGTCTAAACTGTTGCACTCAAGCAGTAGAAAACATGATTGAGTTGTTTTCATAGGGATGAATCGACAAGATCGATATTGGGACTTACACATTTTGATGCTGTTATGGACAATGAACTGTGTCCGAAACGTAACCCAGTAAATAATACTGTTTCACTGTGATTGGTACATCTAATAGATCGACTGAAATGGAACTTTGAGAATAGACTATTAGAACAATTTACTACACTTTTCGAGCTGAAGAGAGAGAAGCAATCAATGATGGAAAGACAAGTGAGAAAGTAGCCACTGATATGATATAAATTTGGACAATGAATTATGTCCGAAACGTCATCTAGTGAGTCAGTTTTAAAAAGCATGCTGAAATGGAAGTAATCATTGATTTATCAATGCAAACACTTCAGTCCCATTAAACTGGTTGTCCGTAATACATTCTGATGTATACAGTGTAGGCTTTCGAAATATTCTATTCCATAACTTGTCGTTGTGCTTTCAACTCTGATTGCTACTCTGACGGTGTCTAACTGTGAAAGAATTAGGAAAAATATAACAACCGTTAAGCTGACACACATACACTCTAATTTACCATTCTCTCAGCTTGTGGTGTTTATGGCTTTCACTGTTGCGATAGAATATTCTGTGTTGTAAATCCTAATACACAGTTTTTTCATTTCAGTTTGTTTCCAACCATGCCAAGACACAATTACTACAAAGTGAGACCTTATGTGAAAGCCTTATGCGAAAAATACAATCTTCCTTATCGCGTTAAACCGATTGGAATAGCCTTCACAGATGTTTTCAGGTGAGTGAAATTTTACTTTGTAATAATTTGCGGAAGTGTTAATGCCACAATACTCTAGATCGTGGTATAACATTTACTGTCAACTCTCAGTGAAGGAAATCCCCACTCAATTTGACTCCATTTAATATCTCACCAGCATACTGTATAAACATTTTGTGTATCAGTGTTGAACCGGGATATGCACAAGCAGTCTAATCCCAATGGACAAAAGCTCTACAACTTAAGACTATTCATGGTCGTTTTCGTGCAAACAGATATGATACTTGCATGATTTGGAAATTACAGTAAAGATTATTGTTGATTTATGGTAGTCGACTGGTTGGCAGATTTTAAGAGAAATCAGGTTGTCAAACTGCACAATGCATTCTATAGTCGCCCACTTAAATGTTGGATGGAGTTGGTTGATGACCTTGTGTATTAGTTTCTTTCTGTCAAACTGTTTGTCTATAAATGATATGGTATCGCTGATATGCACTGGATATCTAGCTGTTCTAGACTGGATTTGAGTTGTTCGTTCTCGAAACCCTGGCTCTGATCTATCAATTTCATCTTCTTACTTCTTTCGTGTTTTCTACTCAAGTTTCACTTTTCCTCCTTCCTAACCTCTAGAGACTGCATACTAACTCTCACTGATTTTTCCGAAAACATTATGTAATCTAGTACCTACATCTGCTCATTTGAGTGTCACACACCACAGTATCACTCGTACTAGTTTGGAGAATTCGAGTTATTGCCTCCATGGTTTTCCTCAAATCTTCTTTATCTTAATGCGAATACTGGTCCGATGTTGCAAAATCTCAAATGTCATTATATTTTCTGGTGAAAGAAACGCTTTTTGTATAAATAGAAGTTAGGTTCTATTTAGGGATACCCCTTTCGTCTGAAGCATTATTTCATGTACTGGTATTGCACATATCCATTCTGGGTATACGTTCACTGCGGCCGATCACTGCCACCATCAAGTCGAATCAGATATGGTAGATATCTATATTATAATTAGGTATGCTAAGAAACATGTTAATTTCGAATAAGCTCACATTTAACGACAAAGTTAAGTATTAGTATTATCCCGGTGGGAACAACATTACTCACTGGGAAGCAGGTACATCCAGCTGACGAGTCCCAAATAGGATGAAATGCGCATCCTGGATTCTACTGCTACCCGCTGTCCATTATTACCAAACAAAGTTAAGTATTACTAAAACATTTTGAGAAGGATGTTGAAGCATGAAGAGTGAAGTAGATTTTCAGAAAGCACTTTTTAGATGCTATGGAATAGCTTGTGGTGAAGTGAGAATTCAATACAAAAACTTCCTTTCGTATGCTACATACTGAAGGATACTCAGAGACATATGTTCGTCATTTGTTGTGGTAGAACTTCACCACTACATTTATGTTGTCAATCCGGGATGAGTGTCAATTGACAATGGAGAATAAATGACTTTCGATTTCTCCTTACAACAAACTGTCGCTAACTCATCATGATAATTGGGTCCTTCTACACTCAAGTCACACAACCCACCACCGTATTCGTTGTCTTCAGAAATAAACTGATGAACAAACAAAATCTGATTTATTCGCCTAATTAATTTCTGGGGACTTGATTTATTTCCTTTAATCGCCTTTGATGAAAGTCACTTTAGTTATTATATACGCCATTTATGCATTTCTTGTTTAATCAATTATGTGAATGGAATCAACTTTAGGTCGACTATTTTCTGTTTTTTCAGAACTTTGAAAAAAAGTGCAGAATTATGGAAACAAGTGAATATGGAAAAAGAAAGGTGTTGCAAAAAGCTCCTTGAAGAATAAATAATAACCGTTATCACTATTTTGTCTCTTCAATCTGTTCCACAATGTATCGTTTCTCTTCGTATTGAGGGCAAACGATGTTCCCATTCGACTTCATTTGTCATAATTACTATTCTTGATCATCATACATTTGTTTTATATATGGAAATGACATTTGTTTATTTCCATATCAAGTAACTAAATCTTAATCTTTCAGTGTCTGGTTGTGCCCTTATTTACTTTTGGCCTAATTATTTAATTACAACAACAGCGATTCATCAATTTTTACACCTGATAATGTTTGGTCTCTGACTCTATTCCCTCTTGCTTTCAACGTGTATTTCCGTCAACATGCAGAAATAACTACTTGATCTATTTTCTACTGAGCTGTTCATTCCTTCCAATCAATTGCTCTGATTTTACATAACTGCAAAGTGGTGTAGTTCCTGTTGAAACTATTTTCTTGATTTTCATATGTTGCTTGTGGTAATAAAGCGTGATCAGCTCACCAGTTATTAGTGAAAATGAACTAAGCTGGCGGTATGGATTCAGACTGTAACTGATGTTGCACCCAATATCTTACCAAACCATACTAAAGGATGATAACTTTGTACCCTTCTCACAGCATACCTATTGTTAACTATTGAAAGTATGTAACTGAGTGTCAAAACTATTGGCTCTTCAACACAAGATATTGTATTTCGCTTCTCATTTAGATAAAATCGAATCGAAGATTTCAGTGAGAATTTCTTGTTACGACGATTTCATTCTAAAAACTTGTACAATTATATTTATAAATGAGGTAGATAATAATAAATTTATGTGTGTGTTTCATTCTTACAATGAGTGGTGGAATTGTGAAGTGTATTAGTATGACTAAATAATATTTCATGAATCATGAAATTAATTGAAAAGGTAAAATAAGCCAAATAGGCGGTGACTGAGTGAATGAACATAGTGTGATTTTATTTAAAGGTAGTCAAATGAAGATTATACGAGATAATAAATGTGAATATCATCAGTGAGATCAAATATGATAAGAGGAGTGAATATGTGACAAAATGAATTGGAATTCAGTAGAATAAGCCAAAGAGAAATACGATGATCACTTTATAAATTATTTAAAAATCACGTGGTCCTCGTTGACATTTTTCACTATTGAGTATTTTCCAAATTCCCATTTGTAGTGGCAAAATAGTTTCATGATGGAAATCATCCAGCCATATCACACTCAGGATAAGCTCGGCCGAAAAAAATGGTCGAAATAGCTGTCTCGTGCTTACACCTATCTGATCTGGTTAGGGAAATATATAGATCCCTGTGATTGATCTCCAACTATTCATGTCGTATTCAGTCTCACATTTCACAAGGAAAAGCTGATTGTGCTCAGAATGATAAATCGTAATCCACATTCAATGTAGTGAAAGAGGACTTTCCAACTGTTACTACATACAGAGTTTTGGTTTAAGACTGCATATCTCTAAAGACTGAGTGATAGCAAATATGTGCACGCGTACCTAGCACTTAACCAGCCTTACTAACTCGGTATGCTCTAGTACCTGGTTAATAAGTACCTTACCTAATGTGGGAGTACTGAGGACGAAATACAAATCAAAGTTATTTGTGAATATATTCGCAAGAGCAGTATATTTAATACTGGGTGATGATTGAAGATGAAATGAAAATTTGGGACTCGAACCAGCTACCACTGATGCACTACCAACTGAGCTACGAATAAATTAGAGATGTAGGTAATTTTTAGGGAGATAGTTTATCCAACTTATCTGGCTAATATGGTTGGGCTAGGGACTCTGAGGATGTACATGTTAACCAGCAGGAAGGGAGGGCAAAATGGTGTCTAAGCCTGCTAGGATGCATATACATTAAAACACCTGGAGGTAAGCAAAACGTTTATCACTTCATGGATACTCCTTTTCCATAAAGATTTACCTAAATAGTTCTAGTTCCTATACCACACTATTTTCTGCACAAATCTGATGCACGCTTGATCAAAAAGATCAAACCAAATTCCTTTTCATTTCAATAAGAATAAAAATAGGGGAGTTTGTTAGATGTCCATTTCATGTAGATTTTCCATGCACTGGTCTCTTCAGCGGTTTATAAGTTCTTCTTGTAATTAGTGCGTCAAAAAATTGAGACATTAGGATTCGTTCCTCCTGTGTTGATGAATTGAACAGATGAATGGCAATCACTGAGTGTCTTCAGCGTGCCTAACAAATTGCTTGTATGATCATATACTATAAGGGTATTGTGCATATATCTCTTGTAGAGGTATGGTTTCCCAACAGTTTTTGCAATACCACTATTTCCTAGACTTGTTAAGAAGAAATCGACGAACAAGAAGAACGAAAATTCGCCTAGTGAACTGTTGTTCGCGTAATTCCTTATGTTCAGCTTCATTCTCCTACATTAGTTTTGGCTATGGGCAGCTTATGTTGGTGTAGAGGCATTCGCTTAAAATTCCTTGCTGAGAACAGTACCTACTCTCCAACTTTTATAAACAAATATCCACAGTTCATATGAAATATACTGAAACTCTTTAGGAAGTAAATGCAGTAAATTGGCTTTTTTGAAATAGATCTTAGCCAGCAGGTTATCTCACTTCATGGGCTATCAGTTTTACTACCTGCCATATACCTTATTGAAATTGTGTTCAAGCAAACAAATAGGAATTCACAGTTGTCAGCTCCGTAGGCTACCGAAGAATAGTGAATGGTAGGTACTTAACCAAATATCGACCACCATTCAATCTTGTATATGATTCCCTGGAAAGTTGATCGGATATACACAAATTGAAAAATGTAAGCATTTAGGAATCCATATGTCAATTTCATGGGATTTATAAACATTTAACACATTTCATTAACAAAAGGAGTAACTGGGTGAGTTAAACACTATCATGGAGGTGTCAATATGTGCAAACTATCACAGAACTTACATTTTAAGTTAGAATTTCTAATTACACATTGTGCAGCCACTCTTATCACCTTATTTGTTGTTTATTACATTGATCACATGATTCAAACAACCTTCCTTATTTAATAATTTCTCATGAATGGGAAAGATAATCCCATATTTCAATTAGATTCAAATTGACATTACTCTTCTATATGACCTTCATCTGACTACATTGGAAGAATCACACCATATTCATCAACTTCGTGTCATCTTTGACCTTTTTCTCGCTTGTTTTCTCATCTCTTCATTCATCGATGGGCCTGTTATGATGCTTGACTGATTCTAGTTGTCATACAAACATTATCAGGGAGAGAGAAGTGTGAATGAGACTGTAGTGAGGAGAATTTTCACCAACGTGTTCAACTATCTCATCTCAATGGGAAAAATCATTTAACTTCCTAGAATGGATTTAAGGAGAAGGAATGTTAACTCAGAACTAGACAACATGAAGTTGGTCACCTCTAAATGACCAATCAATATACCTAATCCGATGCTATGGCAGTTTCATCGCGGATTGAGTAACTCGCTGATAATGTCTCTGAATGTAGTACTGGATGGTGTCAGTTCAAATCTTGAGGTTGCAGATGCGTCTTGACGACACGTGCCAACAAGCATGAAACCTAGTTCAATCAGGGCTTCTTGTCAGTTGACTGCATACAACTAACATACACGAATCAGTTTGTGAAGGTGAACTGATATTGGGATTTTGAATTAAGCACGATAACCTTCTTGAAAGTTGGTGCCTGAATGTGACATACACGATACAAGATGTGACAATGTATAATTTGAAGTAAAATGTAGAAGAAACAGTGCTAAGTCGATTCACTGCCAAGGAAAGCAATGCAAATAGGGTGACTCTAAAGGGCTTCCTACAAACGACTCTAATAACTGATTAATCTTCTCTCTTTCTTCGGTAAAGACGGTCTTCCATAAGTTGAAGAAACCTAATAAGTCATTTAAGCTATTGTTAGGGGGCCCTTAAAGTCACTCTCTTAGAGGATACAGGTGACTACTACTAAGACAGAGCACTTTTTAGGCTGAAATAATGGAGAATATTTGTAGCTCAGGTGGATGGTCTTGGTTCTATTGTGTTCTCTGAGAACACAATACAACCAAGACTGGTATTATACTACAGCATACTTCATGTTAAATTCATAATATGAGAATAAAATATTTATTTCTTTATTCGGCACAACTATAATCGTTTTATTGAATAACTGCGACTTAATAGCAACCAATTTACGCCTTAAAATCTGTCAGGAATGTCATATTTCAGTATGATGTAATTCATTTTGCTGCAAAGATACCGATTCACAAGTTTATAGCTCCTACAATGACTTCAGCCGACAAATCGTGAATCAATTTCCATGCCGAGTGAAGCGTTTGTTTCGTTGTTCCTTGTTGCCTGTGAATAACTGTCAGCACCATGGAAATAGCAACGTGACTGAAGCCCCTAGCTATCTATTAATATGTGGTGAGCCTTGAGATTATTGAGCACACATCTACGACACAAAACTTGTCACGGTAAATATTTGCTTGCACAAGAGAAAATAAATAAAGCTGTATATGTGTTTTGATAGTTGGAAAATTTGATACCTTTGCAGTAAACACATTGAGCATTGAATCGTGCAGTGTCATTGTGTTATCCTATTGTGATGGTGCCATCAAATAGTAGAGATAATGCAGTGATAAAACGAGTTGATGGATGATACTCGGAAACATCACTTGAGGACTAACGAACAGTCTGGAGAACACTTATATCTCACTCACTGGATTACAAATGCCAATTGTGCCTATGTTTCAATGATGTGGTTTACCAAAATTAATAACCCATTTAGGCTAAATGATTTTATCGAAGAGTAAACTTTGGTGATCGCCAACAGGACGTTTACAACCACCGGGTGGAGAGTAGTGAGTATTTTCCTTCTCATTCGATAGATGAGGTTTGATATTTTGACTAGTATGCCTAGTTTGTTTTGTTGTATTTAGACATGCATCACAGTATGCATTAGGATATCAATGGAGACCGGTCAGTTGTATAGCATGTGACTCAAAATGTGGCCAACTCTAATTGTGTGGTAAATGAAAGTGTTTGTTAACTATTTGTTCTTTGTTGCTTGGTTCAATTGTTATTTTGTGCTAATGAGATGATTCTTTCAGAAATTCGATGACTTGCTTATTCATATTTTGCCGAGAAGCACGGATTATTGTTATTTCCTATGCTTATTGTCAACAATGACTCATGTTTGGTGGAACGGTTTGATTTGTATGTTTGTCATTTTGTAGACTGATCGAAAGCCACTGGTTTACGTGGGTGAGTCAGTCAAATCACTTGTCAATGCCGGTAGATTATGATCGAGCTGAACCATGGTTTCGTCTACAGCTGAATGGAACATGTAATGTGGAGAATTCATTGTTCAACGATTGGTTCACGGGACACTTGAACTTTCAAATAGAACACCAGTATGTTGATTGTTGTTGTTGTTGTTGATTGATTGATTGTTATATCCTTGAACCTGTGTGATTGAGTTATTGCTTCGTTTTTATTGTTTTCAGATTGTTTTTATTCGGTTTTTCATGCTTCGGTAGAGTCGTTTGATGACGAAGGTAATCTGGAACATGTAATGCTTTGGTGAAATAGACCTTGAATTAGAAAATTCCACTAATATACCAACGGATTCCGTAGTAAAGTGGAAGGAAGTCTAAACTGTTGCACTCAAGCAGTAGAAAACATGATTGAGTTGTTTTCATAGGGATGAATCGACAAGATCGATATTGGGACTTACACATTTTGATGCTGTTATGGACAATGAACTGTGTCCGAAACGTAACCCAGTAAATAATACTGTTTCACTGTGATTGGTACATCTAATAGATCGACTGAAATGGAACTTTGAGAATAGACTATTAGAACAATTTACTACACTTTTCGAGCTGAAGAGAGAGAAGCAATCAATGATGGAAAGACAAGTGAGAAAGTAGCCACTGATATGATATAAATTTGGACAATGAATTATGTCCGAAACGTCATCTAGTGAGTCAGTTTTAAAAAGCATGCTGAAATGGAAGTAATCATTGATTTATCAATGCAAACACTTCAGTCCCATTAAACTGGTTGTCCGTAATACATTCTGATGTATACAGTGTAGGCTTTCGAAATATTCTATTCCATAACTTGTCGTTGTGCTTTCAACTCTGATTGCTACTCTGACGGTGTCTAACTGTGAAAGAATTAGGAAAAATATAACAACCGTTAAGCTGACACACATACACTCTAATTTACCATTCTCTCAGCTTGTGGTGTTTATGGCTTTCACTGTTGCGATAGAATATTCTGTGTTGTAAATCCTAATACACAGTTTTTTCATTTCAGTTTGTTTCCAACCATGCCAAGACACAATTACTACAAAGTGAGACCTTATGTGAAAGCCTTATGCGAAAAATACAATCTTCCTTATCGCGTTAAACCGATTGGAATAGCCTTCACAGATGTTTTCAGGTGAGTGAAATTTTACTTTGTAATAATTTGCGGAAGTGTTAATGCCACAATACTCTAGATCGTGGTATAACATTTACTGTCAACTCTCAGTGAAGGAAATCCCCACTCAATTTGACTCCATTTAATATCTCACCAGCATACTGTATAAACATTTTGTGTATCAGTGTTGAACCGGGATATGCACAAGCAGTCTAATCCCAATGGACAAAAGCTCTACAACTTAAGACTATTCATGGTCGTTTTCGTGCAAACAGATATGATACTTGCATGATTTGGAAATTACAGTAAAGATTATTGTTGATTTATGGTAGTCGACTGGTTGGCAGATTTTAAGAGAAATCAGGTTGTCAAACTGCACAATGCATTCTATAGTCGCCCACTTAAATGTTGGATGGAGTTGGTTGATGACCTTGTGTATTAGTTTCTTTCTGTCAAACTGTTTGTCTATAAATGATATGGTATCGCTGATATGCACTGGATATCTAGCTGTTCTAGACTGGATTTGAGTTGTTCGTTCTCGAAACCCTGGCTCTGATCTATCAATTTCATCTTCTTACTTCTTTCGTGTTTTCTACTCAAGTTTCACTTTTCCTCCTTCCTAACCTCTAGAGACTGCATACTAACTCTCACTGATTTTTCCGAAAACATTATGTAATCTAGTACCTACATCTGCTCATTTGAGTGTCACACACCACAGTATCACTCGTACTAGTTTGGAGAATTCGAGTTATTGCCTCCATGGTTTTCCTCAAATCTTCTTTATCTTAATGCGAATACTGGTCCGATGTTGCAAAATCTCAAATGTCATTATATTTTCTGGTGAAAGAAACGCTTTTTGTATAAATAGAAGTTAGGTTCTATTTAGGGATACCCCTTTCGTCTGAAGCATTATTTCATGTACTGGTATTGCACATATCCATTCTGGGTATACGTTCACTGCGGCCGATCACTGCCACCATCAAGTCGAATCAGATATGGTAGATATCTATATTATAATTAGGTATGCTAAGAAACATGTTAATTTCGAATAAGCTCACATTTAACGACAAAGTTAAGTATTAGTATTATCCCGGTGGGAACAACATTACTCACTGGGAAGCAGGTACATCCAGCTGACGAGTCCCAAATAGGATGAAATGCGCATCCTGGATTCTACTGCTACCCGCTGTCCATTATTACCAAACAAAGTTAAGTATTACTAAAACATTTTGAGAAGGATGTTGAAGCATGAAGAGTGAAGTAGATTTTCAGAAAGCACTTTTTAGATGCTATGGAATAGCTTGTGGTGAAGTGAGAATTCAATACAAAAACTTCCTTTCGTATGCTACATACTGAAGGATACTCAGAGACATATGTTCGTCATTTGTTGTGGTAGAACTTCACCACTACATTTATGTTGTCAATCCGGGATGAGTGTCAATTGACAATGGAGAATAAATGACTTTCGATTTCTCCTTACAACAAACTGTCGCTAACTCATCATGATAATTGGGTCCTTCTACACTCAAGTCACACAACCCACCACCGTATTCGTTGTCTTCAGAAATAAACTGATGAACAAACAAAATCTGATTTATTCGCCTAATTAATTTCTGGGGACTTGATTTATTTCCTTTAATCGCCTTTGATGAAAGTCACTTTAGTTATTATATACGCCATTTATGCATTTCTTGTTTAATCAATTATGTGAATGGAATCAACTTTAGGTCGACTATTTTCTGTTTTTTCAGAACTTTGAAAAAAAGTGCAGAATTATGGAAACAAGTGAATATGGAAAAAGAAAGGTGTTGCAAAAAGCTCCTTGAAGAATAAATAATAACCGTTATCACTATTTTGTCTCTTCAATCTGTTCCACAATGTATCGTTTCTCTTCGTATTGAGGGCAAACGATGTTCCCATTCGACTTCATTTGTCATAATTACTATTCTTGATCATCATACATTTGTTTTATATATGGAAATGACATTTGTTTATTTCCATATCAAGTAACTAAATCTTAATCTTTCAGTGTCTGGTTGTGCCCTTATTTACTTTTGGCCTAATTATTTAATTACAACAACAGCGATTCATCAATTTTTACACCTGATAATGTTTGGTCTCTGACTCTATTCCCTCTTGCTTTCAACGTGTATTTCCGTCAACATGCAGAAATAACCACTTGATCTATTTTCTACTGAGCTGTTCATTCCTTCCAATCAATTGCTCTGATTTTACATAACTGCAAAGTGGTGTAGTTCCTGTTGAAACTATTTTCTTGATTTTCATATGTTGCTTGTGGTAATAAAGCGTGATCAGCTCACCAGTTATTAGTGAAAATGAACTAAGCTGGCGGTATGGATTCAGACTGTAACTGATGTTGCACCCAATATCTTACCAAACCATACTAAAGGATGATAACTTTGTACCCTTCTCACAGCATACCTATTGTTAACTATTGAAAGTATGTAACTGAGTGTCAAAACTATTGGCTCTTCAACACAAGATATTGTATTTCGCTTCTCATTTAGATAAAATCGAATCGAAGATTTCAGTGAGAATTTCTTGTTACGACGATTTCATTCTAAAAACTTGTACAATTATATTTATAAATGAGGTAGATAATAATAAATTTATGTGTGTGTTTCATTCTTACAATGAGTGGTGGAATTGTGAAGTGTATTAGTATGACTAAATAATATTTCATGAATCATGAAATTAATTGAAAAGGTAAAATAAGCCAAATAGGCGGTGACTGAGTGAATGAACATAGTGTGATTTTATTTAAAGGTAGTCAAATGAAGATTATACGAGATAATAAATGTGAATATCATCAGTGAGATCAAATATGATAAGAGGAGTGAATATGTGACAAAATGAATTGGAATTCAGTAGAATAAGCCAAAGAGAAATACGATGATCACTTTATAAATTATTTAAAAATCACGTGGTCCTCGTTGACACTATTCACTATTGAGTATTTTCCAAATTCCCATTTGTAGTGGCAAAATAGTTTCATGATGGAAATCATCCAGCCAATATCACACTCAGGATAAGCTCGGCCGAAAAAAATGGTCGAAATAGCTGTCTCGTGCTTACACCTATCTGATCTGGTTAGGGAAATATATAGATCCCTGTGATTGATCTCCAACTATTCATGTCGTATTCAGTCTCGCATTTCACAAGGAAAAGCTGATTGTGCTGAGAATGATAAATCGTAATCCACATTCAATGTAGTGAAAGAGGACTTTCCAACTGTTACTACATACAGAGTTTTGGTTTAAGACTGCATATCTCTAAAGACTGAGTGATAGCAAATATGTGCACGCGTACCTAGCACTTAACCAGCCTTACTAACTCCGGTATGCTCTAGTACCTGGTTAATAAGTACCTTACCTAATGTGGGAGTACTGAGGACGAAATACAAATCAAAGTTATTTGTGAATATATTCGCAAGAGCAGTATATTTAATACTGGGTGATGATTGAAGATGAAATGAAAATTTGGGACTCGAACCAGCTACCACTGATGCACTACCAACTGAGCTACGAATAAATTAGAGATGTAGGTAATTTTTAGGGAGATAGTTTATCCAACTTATCTGGCTAATATGGTTGGGCTAGGGACTCTGAGGATGTACATGTTAACCAGCAGGAAGGGAGGGCAAAATGGTGTCTAAGCCTGCTAGGATGCATATACATTAAAACACCTGGAGGTAAGCAAAACGTTTATCACTTCATGGATACTCCTTTTCCATAAAGATTTACCTAAATAGTTCTAGTTCCTATACCACACTATTTTCTGCACAAATCTGATGCACGCTTGATCAAAAAGATCAAACCAAATTCCTTTTCATTTCAATAAGAATAAAAATAGGGGAGTTTGTTAGATGTCCATTTCATGTAGATTTTCCATGCACTGGTCTCTTCAGCGGTTTATAAGTTCTTCTTGTAATTAGTGCGTCAAAAAATTGAGACATTAGGATTCGTTCCTCCTGTGTTGATGAATTGAACAGATGAATGGCAATCACTGAGTGTCTTCAGCGTGCCTAACAAATTGCTTGTATGATCATATACTATAAGGGTATTGTGCATATATCTCTTGTAGAGGTATGGTTTCCCAACAGTTTTTGCAATACCACTATTTCCTAGACTTGTTAAGAAGAAATCGACGAACAAGAAGAACGAAAATTCGCCTAGTGAACTGTTGTTCGCGTAATTCCTTATGTTCAGCTTCATTCTCCTACATTAGTTTTGGCTATGGGCAGCTTATGTTGGTGTAGAGGCATTCGCTTAAAATTCCTTGCTGAGAACAGTACCTACTCTCCAACTTTTATAAACAAATATCCACAGTTCAATATGAAATATACTGAAACTCTTTAGGAAGTAAATGCAGTAAATTGGCTTTTTTGAAATAGATCTTAGCCAGCAGGTTATCTCACTTCATGGGCTATCAGTTTTACTACCTGCCATATACCTTATTGAAATTGTGTTCAAGCAAACAAATAGGAATTCACAGTTGTCAGCTCCGTAGGCTACCGAAGAATAGTGAATGGTAGGTACTTAACCAAATATCGACCACCATTCAATCTTGTATATGATTCCCTGGAAAGTTGATCGGATATACACAAATTGAAAAATGTAAGCATTTAGGAATCCATATGTCAATTTCATGGGATTAATAAACCATTTAACACATTTCATTAACAAAAGGAGTAACTGGGTGAGTTAAACACTATCATGGAGGTGTCAATATGTGCAAACTATCACAGAACTTACATTTTAAGTTAGAATTTCTAATTACACATTGTGCAGCCACTCTTATCACCTTATTTGTTGTTTATTACATTGATCACATGATTCAAACAACCTTCCTTATTTAATAATTTCTTCATGAATGGGAAAGATAATCCCATATTTCAATTAGATTCAAATTGACATTACTCCTTCTATATGACCTTCATCTGACTACATTGGAAGAATCACACCATATTCATCAACTTCGTGTCATCTTTGACCTTTTTCTCGCTTGTTTTCTCATCTCTTCATTCATCGATGGGCCTGTTATGATGCTTGACTGATTCTAGTTGTCATACAAACATTATCAGGGAGAGAGAAGTGTGAATGAGACTGTAGTGAGGAGAATTTTCACCAACGTGTTCAACTATCTCATCTCAATGGGAAAAATCATTTAACTTCCTAGAATGGATTTAAGGAGAAGGAATGTTAACTCAGAACTAGACAACATGAAGTTGGTCACCTCTAAATGACCAATCAATATACCTAATCCGATGCTATGGCAGTTTCATCGCGGATTGAGTAACTCGCTGATAATGTCTCTGAATGTAGTACTGGATGGTGTCAGTTCAAATCTTGAGGTTGCAGATGCGTCTTGACGACACGTGCCAACAAGCATGAAACCTAGTTCAATCAGGGCTTCTTGTCAGTTGACTGCATACAACTAACATACACGAATCAGTTTGTGAAGGTGAACTGATATTGGGATTTTGAATTAAGCACGATAACCTTCTTGAAAGTTGGTGCCTGAATGTGACATACACGATACAAGATGTGACAATGTATAATTTGAAGTAAAATGTAGAAGAAACAGTGCTAAGTCGATTCACTGCCAAGGAAAGCAATGCAAATAGGGTGACTCTAAAGGGCTTCCTACAAACGACTCTAATAACTGATTAATCTTCTCTCTTTCTTCGGTAAAGACGGTCTTCCATAAGTTGAAGAAACCTAATAAGTCATTTAAGCTATTGTTAGGGGGCCCTTAAAGTCACTCTCTTAGAGGATACAGGTGACTACTACTAAGACAGAGCACTTTTTCAGGCTGAAATAATGGAGAATACTTGTAGCTCAGGTGGATGGTCTTGGTTCTATTGTGTTCTCTGAGAACACAATACAACCAAGACTGGTATTATACTACAGCATACTTCATGTTAAATTCATAATATGAGAATAAAATATTTATTTCTTTATTCGGCACAACTATAATCGTTTTATTGAATAACTGCGACTTAATAGCAACCAATTTACGCCTTAAAATCTGTCAGGAATGTCATATTTCAGTATGATGTAATTCATTTTGCTGCAAAGATACCGACTCACAAGTTTATAGCTCCTACAATGACTTCAGCCGACAAATCGTGAATCAATTTCCATGCCGAGTGAAGCGTTTGTTTCGTTGTTCCTTGTTGCCTGTGAATAACTGTCAGCACCATGGAAATAGCAACGTGACTGAAGCCCCTAGCTATCTATTAATATGTGGTGAGCCTTGAGATTATTGAGCACACATCTACGACACAAAACTTGTCACGGTAAATATTTGCTTGCACAAGAGAAAATAAATAAAGCTGTATATGTGTTTTGATAGTTGGAAAATTTGATACCTTTGCAGTAAACACATTGAGCATTGAATCGTGCAGTGTCATTGTGTTATCCTATTGTGATGGTGCCATCAAATAGTAGAGATAATGCAGTGATAAAACGAGTTGATGGATGATACTCGGAAACATCACTTGAGGACTAACGAACAGTCTGGAGAACACTTATATCTCACTCACTGGATTACAAATGCCAATTGTGCCTATGTTTCAATGATGTGGTTTACCAAAATTAATAACCCATTTAGGCTAAATGATTTTATCGAAGAGTAAACTTTGGTGATCGCCAACAGGACGTTTACAACCACCGGGTGGAGAGTAGTGAGTATTTTCCTTCTCGTTCGATAGATGAGGTTTGATATTTTGACTAGTATGCCTAGTTTGTTTTGTTGTATTTAGACATGCATCACAGTATGCATTAGGATATCAATGGAGACCGGTCAGTTGTATAGCATGTGACTCAAAATGTGGCCAACTCTAATTGTGTGGTAAATGAAAGTGTTTGTTAACTATTTGTTCTTTGTTGCTTGGTTCAATTGTTATTTTGTGCTAATGAGATGATTCTTTCAGAAATTCGATGACTTGCTTATTCATATTTTGCCGAGAAGCACGGATTATTGTTATTTCCTATGCTTATTGTCAACAATGACTCATGTTTGGTGGAACGGTTTGATTTGTATGTTTGTCATTTTGTAGACTGATCGAAAGCCACTGGTTTACGTGGGTGAGTCAGTCAAATCACTTGTCAATGCCGGTAGATTATGATCGAGCTGAACCATGGTTTCGTCTACAGCTGAATGGAACATGTAATGTGGAGAATTCATTGTTCAACGATTGGTTCACGGGACACTTGAACTTTCAAATAGAACACCAGTATGTTGATTGTTGTTGTTGTTGTTGATTGATTGATTGTTATATCCTTGAACCTGTGTGATTGAGTTATTGCTTCGTTTTTATTGTTTTCAGATTGTTTTTATTCGGTTTTTCATGCTTCGGTAGAGTAGTTTGATAACGAAGTTTATTCCAACTCACTTCAACTCTGTTTAATATCTTACCAGTATACTGTATAAATATTTTGCGTCCCACTGTTGAACTGGAATATGTGCAAGCAGTTTAACCCCAGTAGACAAAATTCTACAACGTAAGACTATTCATAGTCGTTTACATGCACACAGATATGATACTTGCATGATTTGGTAGTCACAGTGTAGATTACCGTTGATTTGTGATTCTTGATTGACTGGTCGGGGTTAATGTTAATGAAAGT